TATATATATATATATATATATATATATATATATATATATATATATATATATATATATATATATATATATATATATATATATATAACAAACATGGGTGACAGTATTACACTTTTGGTACGGCAGCCCACTGGAGGCCCATATCTCATTGGGCTTTTAGCCAGCGTCAATCTCACAGTTTTTGGATAAAATTTGAACTACACTAATCACGATGAAAAAGAATTGGTGTTTGTATTGAGTTACAAAAATCTTCGTGGAGATTAAGCATTGCATTAAGAATATAAATTAATAGATCTTGTGATGTGAAGATTACATCAATACCGATAAAAAGTAGGGTCGAGTATCTATGAACTTGATGATGGTGACGAGAAACATAATTGAGCCCAGTAGGCCCATAAGCCATTGAGTAATAACGTATAAAAGAAGAGGGCTAAATTGGTAGAGCAAAGAGGTCCGTCCCCTTCGCGTGGCCCCATGCGTTAGCTTTGCTCCCCCCATGTTTCTCTGTCAGAAAGAGCTCATGTCATGGAGCCATTATGAGTTGTGGGGCTGATGCCAAGTGACATCACAATGTTTGCATTGCCCAATCGGGGGACATCAGCATCTGAGCTACCTCTAATCTCTTAGTTCTCAGATAAAAAGTGTCATGGGGGTGTCTCCCTCTGGTGTAGCAAAAGGATGAGCATCACAGAATGGTTGTCCCAAAGTTAAAGCATTCCAACATGATCCCTTGTTGTTTAGCCAACTAAACTCTTGGGAAGATCCAAGATTTGCACATCAAGAAGAATTGTTTGTTTGGCTAAGATCCAAGATTTGCATGGCCAAAGGGAATGAATGCATTGTGCCTCTTTGGATTGTTTGGTGGCACAACGATGTCTCTCACAAGGAGTGGGTGGATAGATGTAGGGGGAGCGCATGGCATGGCACATGGAAGCATTTTGCGGAGCACATGAATGGTAGTGGCTCTTCAAGGGCCAGGAACAGAGGGGGCCAACGGTGGGGATGGGTGGTGGGGCCCAATGACATTTCATTTGAGGCATTGCATGTGGCAAGTTTAGAAGGTTGTCTCATATTTTACATTTTTTTGGCCCTATATAAAATCAGAAAAAAAATTATTTGTGTCCTCCAAATTTATTTATGCTGTTATATTTCTAATTAATATTAAAATATTATGTGTCTGGAGGCCTAATGCATAAAAAGATGAGAACAGAAAGGTCTTTTTTGGTATCTTAGAATTTTTATATTTAAAAATCAAAATAGTTTTGCTAATCATAATTCATAGTAATTGATTGGATGGACACCAGTGGAATTGGATGATATATACGAAGGATTTGTATATTTGGAAGAATATATATACTATATATACATTAATTTTTCAAAGGATATATAAATAAAATATTATAAATTTAGGATCTTAACTCTAGAAATATTTTTTCTTTTTTTCTTTTTTGACAAATAGATTAGATCCTTGGATCTCACTCTCAATAGTCAAAATCGGGTCTATTTCATAGGAATGTTTTCTTCTATACATTCGACGAGTTTATTTGATAGGGATCTTTTCTTCGGTAGACCCGATGGATCTATTTATAACCTAGTTTAATATATAACCTTTGTTAGGTTTTCAATTGTAAAAATACCCGACACAATTAATTGTCAATATTTATATCCATGCGACTTTCCTCATTATTATGATGTTTGATTTCTTTTATGGATTATAAACTTATCCTACAAAATAGTATAAAAAATATCAAAATATTTTATTATAAACATTCCACTATCATCAAATTTGATTTATAGTGTAAAACTTCCAAGTTTTTCAATCATAAAAACTATTTACACATCAATATGCACAAGAAAATCTATCTATTCATTCTTTATTGAATCTGACAACAAGTGGAGCCTATGATTTAATATCTAGTTTTTCCATATTGAAGACTAATTACATATTGCTCCCTATAATTAGTTATCTTTGGTATAAAATATCACACGTATATAGTGATAAATCAAAATGAGATAAAGTCAGTATATGCTTAATGGTAAATCTTATGATATTTCGTTAGCTAAATCGATGGTGTTAAGAGAAACATGTTTAAATATTTTATTTTTATAAATATAGGGATCTCAATATAATTTTTTTAAATATATAGACTGAAATATTAGATGTAACTAATTATATATATATATATATATAAAGTAAACATCAACTTGCATGAGATATTTAAGCCCAAATGCTTTAAACAGCTTCACAAATGAAACTAGCTGGAATATTTAGTGTTGAGGGGAGGTTGTTTGCACTCCATCTTCGCTAGAAGAAAGAACGAGCTGGATGATTTGATCCTATGTCACTGCAAGCTTATGTTTATGTTAGGGTTGATAACTATTCATTAAGATTCTAATAAGATTTTGAATTATTTGGAGAACAAGGTTATTTGAAAGAAGAAAAAAAAAATTGAAGGGAAAGAAATTCTAGATCTAATTATTTTGGAAGTACTTGATGTATTTCAAGATCTTAAAGAGAACGAGGCATAATGGAAAATCACTTTTAAGTAGTCATATGATTTTTTTTTTATACATCTAAAGATACGAAATAAATGAAGAGAAAAGTTTGATGTTGGAGTCCGAGACGAAGAGAGAAGAGTCTTGTTCTTTTTATTTGATTATTTTCATATACTGAATGATCTAAGTTCTTTCTTTGCGTATATGGGTATATATATAGGTAAGGAAGGAGTGTCGAACCATGTAAATCTTACATCAATATTTTTTATTTACATTTTACTAAGTCAATGCATTTAAGTGTTATTAACTGAAATTTACAGAAAAGATGCATCACTATACACCATAGTAATTCAAGAGAAGAAAGACTGCTTCCATGAAACATGTATCATGATTTCTGTTTGCAAACCTTCCATGACTGTTCTTACTGGAATTAGGCCTTCATCAAGCATTCAAGAGGAACATTGATTGCAAGAATATATTGGAGAAGCTAATGTACATTGTCAGATCACTTCAATTCTCAATGACAAAACAAAAGAAAAAGTGAGAGAAAAAAAATGAGCCTCGAAACCTAGAAAAACCTGATTGCCATTGACATCTAGCATCAGTGTCTTGTTCAAAGAACCAACATGGAGTGACAGTGTCTGCAGCTCATGTCTTGTTCAAATTTAGAGCTAGAAGAAGCCATGAGGGAGTCTTCAAGTCTTCACTGTCCAAACCGGTAGAGGAGTCACCACATTCCTCTTCCTTCTCCACCATGACCGATCTCGACGAAAGCTGTGGCCTGGTATCATTTGTATCAGTATCCAGATGCAGCAGAGGTGTTTGTTTCTTCTCGTTTGAACTACAACCAATGCTTAGTGTCAACTCAGTTTGGCTTCCATCATCAGTCCATGAGAGTGGAGCTGCAGCCTGGTTCTTGACAGTCCTTGCTCCAAAGCTCTTCATCTGCACACTCGATGGATCCTCAGAGCAAATGCTTAGCTCCCTGGAGCTTGGGCCTGCTCTTGCACTGCAAGCTGCAGACTGGTGCAGGATACTGACATGAGAAGAATGGCTAGTGTTCGAGGTGGAAGCACTGCTCCAGATTCTGGTCTTGGTCTCTGCTACTGCTGCTGCAGTTTCATTTGGGAAAGAGCTGATGTTAATTTCCTTGTTTCCGAGCTCAGCCATCAGCATCTTCTGCACTCTGTACAGATGATGGAGTTCATGCACCTGCCACATCCAACAAATAGATAATTGTTTGGACAATCAATCCTACAAATAAGCTTTTGCCAGACAATTTCCGACCACCAACTGTTCTTCAGTGGAAGTAATCAGATTACAACAATGACAATAGCAAAGCCATAAGGTCTCAACTAATAAAATTACATACAATAAATTAATAGAAAATTTTGCAATATCAGACAATATCGTATGGATAGTAGTATTTATCGGTCTAGTAATTTACCAATTGTATGCAGAATATAAGGTAAACTATGGTTGGTACAAGGCCTGCACAGGACAATTCCTTTTATTTTTTTTGTTTTTTGGTATTTTTTTTTAACTTTCTTTCAAAAACTTGGTAAATATCAGTGTATTAGCACTCGATACGCTGATACGGAGCAGTAAGTTATCAGTCAAGGTCCTGACCGACGCAATATCAGTGCACAAAATTATGAACCTTGATTAATAGACTTGTAATACTGTCAATCTATCTAAATGTACCGATGCTTATTGGCTGCGCAACCGAAACAAGGATCATATTTACCTGCTGCCTCAAGATTTCTTCATGATGTAGCATTGTATTCCTTATGGAATTTCTGTCATGGCACTGGAGAAGTCTCTCCATTGAACCTTTAATCTGGTTCGGATTGCAAAAGATGCTTGCCTTTACTGAAATGTTGTCAGATACAGCCCTGATATCTGAATATTTCAATCCTGTAGTCACTATATTACATTTGTTCTTTTGCAAGGTGGTGAATAATCTATTAATCTGATGCAACTTTGAGCCCATTCCTGAGGAAGGAGGAGAAATGTCATCAAGGATCACTTACACAAGCACAAACGGCAGGTTGCAGGAAAGAAAGATTTGAACCTAAAAAACATGAGATAAGCAGATATATAGAGAGAAATATGGTGTTAGTCTGACATTTAGTTCTAGATATTAGATTGGACTCAAATTTAGGGTCCAATATGTATCAAATATTATCAGGAAGATAAGTAGCTCCACTTCAGGCTGGCTTACAATTATTCGATCTCGTAGATAATACTTTTTATTCCTCAAGAAGGAAAAAAAAACTCTTGTCACTCGGCGAAACTATGCATACAAGTATTGTGAGAGATGTTCATTCTGTGAAAGCCAAATCTTCTCTAAATGTAGATGAACGGATACATGAAAGGTCAGGTTAGCTTCCACAGGATTAATCAAACAGTGGCACTAAGACTTTCCTACATCACCTAATGGTGATTTTGATGATCAAAGTTGAAATTCTACATTATGTAAAAATCTTGCTTAGAAGGTAGATTAAAGTTACAAACACTTCTCCAGAGTTCTCTTCAAGGAAAATAGTATAGCAGACTGAAAGATACATGATGCAGGTCTTCAATCCTGAAGTTTAATGCATCACTCATGCATATAATATTCCACTTGATAAGATAAAAATTATCACTACATCATCATGTTTATTACCGCTCAAAGGAAAGTCTAAATAAAAGAGTACTTCAAAAGGCTTTTTTTTTCCTGATTACTTCATACAACAATTCAAAGAGTTGCATTTCTAACTTAGAGTTCATTGTTGCTGACAACTGTTGGCATCATAGGATTGAAAAATAATTAGGAAATGCAAGATAATCTGAGGCAGATTTATCTATTTCAAGAAGGGAAAACAATGAAATTTGGCTGAAGTACAAAGGAGATCTTACAACAAGCAACCATAGATAAGCCGGATCTAATGTTTCTTTCTGCTTTATGGCCTTTAAAGGCCTCAGTGCATTAATGCAGAAGATAATAACTATGTTAATCTTGTGAGTCTTTGCAATAAAATTATTAGTCTTGATATCTCCGTGCGAAAGCTTAAATATAGGAAAAAGATATTTCAGTAATGCTTCCATGAAATATATAGAGAGAACATGATTTATTTTATTAGACATCCAATCTTCCTCTAAGAATTTAAAAGAATTGAAGATAATAGAAAAGATCATATAACACAAGCTCAAAAAAGCAGAGAGTTGTAGAACAGAAGACCTAATTGACTGTAGAACAGAAGAGAAAGCTAATTTAAGATCAGATCTCAGATCATATGTGATTCAGAAGGACAAAAGAGAATACAGATAAAAGACTGATAAATGCATGTCAGCTTCCCTTTAAATCGAATACCATATTTTTCCCAAACTCAAAGTATTCCACTTCAGATCAGAAGAACAAAATTAGAACAACAATTCAAGCTTGTCTCCCTAGAGAAGGAAAAGGAAGAATGATGGGAAGCAAGAAGCTGAATCATGTTAGACGAAAAAAGAAGTGATGTCAACATGATCATGTTAAACTTCAGAATCTTGCAGCTCTCCACAAGATTGTGAAAACAAAAGTGATGTTCATCAGGATGAATCTGAATTGGTCACATTTCGGCAAAACACAATTGTTAGCGAAAAACTAGTCCTTTCTTGTGTTTCCAAATTGCATCGGTAAGATCCATCGCAACTCACAGCAAAACTTCAGCATCAAACATGTTAGAGAAGAACACATTTAGGACCAAACTAAATGTCACACAAAAGATAAGGTAATGTTGGAAGATATTTTTCACCTGCAAACTCCAATTCAGCTGCTTGCCAAGCATCTTCTCCCTACCAACCTTTCTCTCTTCCAATTATTACCCCCATAAACGCCAAACCTCATTCCAGTAATGATGTCATAATTGAGACTAATCATCAGAGGAATCCAACAAATGGGGATCAGTCGAGCATATGCAGCTTGCAATTGCTCATAAGGAGAACAAAGCCTGCAGAGGAACAATGGCAGCTTGACAGGATATGCTGGGGAGGAAGATGCAAAGGAAAGGTTGAGAAACCCATGGTGGAATCAACCGCAGCATTAGATCATGTCCACAAGGGAGGAGGATGAAGAGATATCGCGAATCTGAATCAACACATACAACCAAATCTCACTTGGCCTTAGTAAGCCATGCAAGCATGTGAGGGAGATATTCCAGACAGCTCCTCAGCTCTTAACAGGACACCGAGATGGTCTGATGGGCTTATGCTTCCATTCCTTTACTCTCTCTCTCTCTCTCTCTCTCTCTAAGCAAACCAATCATTTCCATTTCCTATCCTTACAAGTAAGTGGGTGTTTTATCCACCAAGTAAAGCAAGTCATTTTGTGAATCGCAGTGACCAGAATCCTGGAATTGTCCCCACGAAGCAAGACCCAACCAATGAATTGACTTTTATCTACTGGAGGATGTGGCGAATTATTCCGAGGCAGCGGATAAGATCAAGAAACAGAATCAAATAGTGGAAAAGACTGCATTCTTAGCATCAAAGAACTAATCATTTTAGTTGAAGGCAGAATGCCCACTCAGGAGTTTGTACCAGATTCAATGATTGATATAAGCAGGAAGTACAGGGATTGCGTGTCGGAGCTTCTTTCTCAAAGAAAGGGGGATCCTTTGTCATCTCCGGATCAGAAAAGTCTCATCTTGTAGAAGGTTCGCACATTGGATCTATTATCTTAGGTAAAAGTTCCATTTTTATCTTGAATTCACCACAAAAGCTTCAACAGTCATCGGTGTTATCTCCTATGTCGGTCGCTAGGCTAGACGTTAAGAACGATTCGACCAGGTCCGAACTCGAATTGGTGGATGTGGGTCGTTCCCACTCGATAGGTCGAGATGCTGAACGGGAATTGAGGTGCAGGGCTGGAGCCAAAATGGCGAGTTAAAGCTGGAGCGCAGAGCTCTACCGAGGTAAGGAGCTCAGCTCGAACTACCGACGTAGAAGTTAGCGGGGAGTCCGAAGTGGGAGTGGAGTAGTCTAAGAGTCCAAGGAGAACAGAGAGCAAACGCGAGATCAAAAAATATTTACCGCCGATTAGTTGACAATGTGGTGGATTTGGTATGACGGATCTTATCGTTTTGTGTCGTGTTGATGTCTATATATCAAGTTGGAAATGAATGATTTTTTCCTTCACCAATCTCAGAATTGGATTTTAATGCATTGTTGACTCGGTAAGAGAAGAGAATTCATGGATTTAAGTGGCTGGCAAAGAGATGTCCAATCAAAAGCAATGAGGAAAGCAGAGATGAAAGCAAGACCAACAGTCGAAACCAATAGCTACCCATCGCTTTCCTCCAAAAGCCAACGGAGAAGAAGAGCATATCTGTCATTTAAGGCTCCGAACTCATAAAGCAAGCCCAAGAAAACCTTTTGTGTTCTCAACCGCTGAAGTGGAGGGGGAGCTTAATTTAATGAGAGGCCATGTCTGTCTGCTCCCCTGTACCTGCAGTTCCACTGTCTCCTCTTCTACCGCTCACTTGACGTAAAACAATTCTCCCTCTTTTCTGTGCAACTATAGAAATCTGATCACATTGAATGCATGGTCCGGTAACATGGCGAGGCAGAATCTACATGGCTGGTGGAGAGAGAGAGAGAGGATGCTCTGAGGAAAGAATCAGGCATTGGATCTGAAGGAGCTGTCATTTGGGTTGTAGTACAGGGAAGACCTGTGATGGGAGATTCTGTGTCTCCAATCTGTACAGTCTGGATATGGATTTCAAGGCAGGGGAGCTCATATGGCTTATGATTCTGTCCCAGTCAAAGTTCTTTATCAGAAAAATAGATCAAGAAACTTGTGTCAGAATGTTGAACAGGGAAAAAAAAATGTACATAGATCCAGACAACCACATGAAAGAGTTAGATAGATAGATAGATAGATAGAGAGAGAGAGAGAGAGAGCATGGAGTTGATGATTCAACTTGTTTAACTTAGTCTTATTAGTGATGATAGGAAGTTGATTCCTGTATCAATGATAGTGTGCATCACCTTGTTGCTGAAGGATACATTGAGGAATTATTGATTGTAATAAGCCTGCAGGTGGCCGGATTAAAATCAACCAGACTGCTAAGTTAGCTAATCAAGCAAGAACATATACAAGTACACTGTGTTTGGGGAGTGTGTGTTCTCTCTCAGCTTTTGAATATATTGGTTTTCTATGCCTTTGGCATTGGATGTATCCATTTATTTAAGTAATATAAGTTTGTTTTTCTTAGAAAAAGAATCATTATAAGAACTTATGATGAGAGTAGTTACAATAAGAATTATGTGGGAGACTTTGAGAAGTTAAAGTAGTCTATGTTTAGTGCTTGCACTATTTAATGTTGGGATTAATATATATTTTGAGGGTATAGGAGATTGTGGCTAGTGAAAATAATTGAAAGATCTTGTAATTGATTTAAAAATTTTAATATTTCTCATAAAATAAATAGGAGTTCTTATGATACGTTCTTAATTATTCCTTTTTGTTTTCATATTCTTCTCTCCACATTTTAGTGTCCTAATAAATACAACAAAAGCAGATCTACCAACATATTTTACTCGCACTATTGCCTTGAAGTAAAAGCACAGTATTTTCTTTTCCTCGAGTTATTGTTGTTTATTGTTGCCCACATATCATACAAAATATTTGTAGCCAAGTTATAATATCTCCCGAGTCACATGCAATTGAAATAAACGACACCATACAACCAAACAAAGAAGTAATCTACCAATTTGGTCGATCGCGATGATATGTTTGATGTATACATGAACACTATTGACGCAAACTATGTTTGAATCGTCTCCATCTTCATGTCGTCGCACGTGAAATGAATATTGACGCAACATGCAATCTGCTGCATGCATGATTTGGTGTTATATAAAACATAGTATTCGGGGTAAATGATGAAGATGATATTTAATCTGATGTTATATACATAGTATATATCCTGTAGTGTCAGCACCGATCATAGAACACATCCAATTGTGCATCTACCGTACATCCCTTCACAGTTGTCATGTTACAGTCAAACGTGATGATATTATGGTGAGATATGAAATCAAATTGAATGTTCGTAATCTACAAACACAAGCAATTAAAGATTTTGAAGTTGTCAAGGTGGTTGACATACCTCAGCCGATCTCCTTGCCAACGTTGCCGGAACTGAAGCTCTATCAAATTGATGTCACCGGCGGATGTTGCGGCCTGAATGGATTAGATTACGTGGGGTTGGACAAGCTGTCGCGTCATCGGTCATAAATGGGCGAAGACAAGTCATGTGGGTGTGATACGACGGCATCATGCGCTGGTACTTGGTTGCATATCAAGTGTTTTGTCCTCAGGCAGCGGGCAGGTTTCATGAGGTCACCCGCCACCCCTTCATTGAATGAGATTGCTGTCACAGGGAGTATATATATGGATATCACGACAAGGGTTGACCCACCGTGAAGACAAGTGCTGCCATGTGAAGGACGGATGTGGAAGCAGCTGATTTGGGCAGCCACTGAGTTGCAGGTGAAGTCATCAGGCACTTGAGTTGTGAGAGGACATACTTTGTTGCCATGTCCCACGTTATTTTGGCAGTCATGCACCAAAGTTGGTGAATGGTGAGTGAAAATGGCAGCATTTATTTGCACCAGTACGTGGCTTACATAGATTGATGTGTACGTCTCTGATGCCAGATGTTCAAAGAGACTTTTACCGTGTGAAAAATGGACGCATCATATCAGTATCATTCATTCATTCATTCAAATATGATCGGATCTACTCATAATAAAAGTGGTCCTAACGTAGGTGGATCCTACTCGTTTATATACGTGGGGACACCCTAAATTCTGTAGGACTCTTAAACATAAAAAAACCTCACCCCTTATATGTACATGTATAAGGATAATAGAATAGAGAGATATCCTTATATAGTTGAGAAAATCTTAACTGTTATTATTCTACAAATTCTAATTATCGTTCATCCGATATCTCTTGTGAAAAAATGGTTAAAAGGTTAGGTGCTCATCATGATAGATAAAGATGAACTTGGTACTTAAAACTTAATTCAAAGGAACACTAATGGAGCAATTGACCAATTCATAATCATATTATAATATTATGAGTGGCTGTCAAAGGGAGGAGACAAAATAACATGAGGTTATTGAAGGGATAGAGACTGAGCTGTGAGAGGGTGTTTAGAAAGCTAAGGCTAAAGATTCTTGTGGGAACACATCAGTTCCCACCATCCATGAATCTGATTTGACTCATGAGATATAAGAACTAGATGACAGGATTGTAATGAGGAAAAGGAATCAGATTGCCCCCATTCATGTCCTGGTCCACTTGTTACTAAATTATAGTTTCTCTATCTATCCCATATAATGACTCTCATCTTCCTTATATAATAATTTTTCTTTCTTGAGATTGAAAACACACAACAAAGATATGGTTATTATGCCTCTGAGGCTGTCCAAAGGATGCATGGGTTGGGCTAACTTGATTGCTCCTGTTAAGACCCAACATAATCCAATACATGGAATAGATGATCATGGTCTAAAATGGTTAAACCAAAATTATCAGTAAGAATCAAAGCAACATCTGACTTAACAGTCACTGGGTTTTTTCCATTGTAGGCAATTTATTCCCTTATTACCTCACCAATTTCTATCATGAACATTGGTTGACATGCAATCCAGAGGCAAAAGAAGCTGACAATGAGTTTTCTTTCTGGTTCATATCAGTGCACAAAGTTAACCCTCCATCTTATCTACTTCCTAGAATGAACACAGGGTTAGACTAATCATGTCATGCCAGCACTAAAAAACCAAGATAAGAATTGTATGGACTTGCTTGCCTATGAAACCACCAGTAACAATTGTCCTACAGAGAAGTGCAGAAGCACTAAATTAAATATTAATGGACTTTGGTTATACTTCAATTCTGATATTTTAATGGTTGCAGAAGTGTTATATGTACAGATGAATGAGATAAAGACAAGTTTATAGCATACACGGTGAGAAGCTTGCGACATCGAGTCTAGCCTTATCATCAAGTATCATCAAGTGCTATGTAGAACTGGCCAAACAATACTATTCCCTAAGAACTAATATTTGGTTGACAACATTGCACAAGAGATTGGTCATGTCTCAAGATCATCACCTCAAATTAGTAAATCATCTCGAAGAAGGCCTCTTGTAATCTTTTCTAGGAGGCTTGCGTGATTAGTATTCCTAAAACAATCCCGAGGTGTATCCCATCCTCACCAGCAGTAGCATCCTATCTGCCGTTGCAAATACGAAGAGATCAATTAACTACATTAATTAAACCATTCAATGAATCCAAAGCACAACGAGAAGAAAAAAAAAGATTAAAAAAGGTCGATAATGGAAAACAAATGCATCATATATAAGATTATCGAATCAGGCACAACAAATCCGTAGGTGAAGAACTTGAACCAAACTCGTGCAGCAACTATCAAGACAACAAAACGAGAAAAAAGATCCATCTATCGACTGACGAAATGAGATGAGGGTCAAATCAAACCTCGAACAAGCACGTCTTTAAGAATTACCTTACTAAGATCTCACACCTTTGTATATGGTCAATCAAATCTTACGTAGTTAGTTAGATTCTTTAGTATCTTTATTCTTAGACTTAAAAAATTTACATTGAATTTTCATAAGAAAAATTTTCTTCTTCCATAAAAAAAAAAAACTCGAAATCACATGTTAATTTTTTTATTACAAATTAAATAGACAAAGCTTTTTAACGATATATGACAAACCTCTAAACTTCATATCAATAAGATCAATTTAGTATGTGAAGTTTGCGATTCAAAATGACAAAGTATAATATGCTTCGATACTAATTTGATATTAACCGGTGTCTTTAAATTTTAACTAAAATATAAAAATTTTGATCAAGAAAGATATATTCCGAAATGTTACTAGGGGCGAGGGGATATGACTCGACGTTGGATGTCATTCAACGCAGCTATGCAAAAGCTTGATAGGTTAAGAAGGATCTATTAATTTTATGGATAAGTAAAACCAAACTTCTTTTTCATATTAAAAAAATATATATATATATCTTAAAGGATATCATTGAGCATCTACAATAATAATAATAATAATAAACACATTTCAACTAGAATATATGTTACCAAGTAATTAACACACTACTTACTAAAAAAAATTATTAAGAGCAGTAAAAATAATTTAAAAAATAACAACTAAGATTCCAAAATATAATATATTAACTGTGATATAAAATGAAATTATTCCCTGGTATCAATTAGACTATTGGGTCGAGTGTTCGTTGGTTAAGCTTTTGTTTATCTTATTAAGTATAATGCGTCGTATTTTTCATGCGTTAAATTTCAATGTATTTTTTATGAACTCTAATTTAATTTGCACGTCAAATAATAAATGAAATAAAAATTAACAAAAAGGGGACAAATAAATGGACGACTTGCGTTTTGCTCCATCAATTTTCTATCCATCAAGAAGGGGACGAAAATATCAGTGCACGTGGACGGTCGTCATCGATCCTGCAGAAAACTTAAGCAAGCGAATAATCCGATAAAGAAGCTGTTGCCCTCGACGTAACGGCCCGGACAAAGAAGAGGACACGTCATCGCTTCAACTCGCCTCCTCCCTCCGTCTCGTCTCTTCCCATAAATGCAGAGAGCGAGCTTTCCGCAGCCTGTCAATGCCGCATTAATTTCTTAAGCTTGTTTGCTTTGCTTTGCTTTGCTTCGCTTCTCGGAAAGGAAGCCTTCGCCAAATCTTCTTACTGATTCGAGGGTTTGGAGGAGGAGGCGAGGCGAGACGAGAGAGAGAAAACGGAAGCATGCGAGGGAGACCGCTTTAGGGAATAGGGGGGGGTATGGGATTTTGGCGATGTCGGACGAGAAGCCGCCGGTAGAGATCTGCAAGGGCGTGAATGACCTCGACAAGGTGGTGCTTAGGGGCCTCCGCGGGAGCTCGGCAGAGGTCCGATCTCTCCTCCCTTTCCCTCTCTCTGGATCGGTTGATCTTCGCCCTGTTTTCGTTCCTTTTGACGTTTCCGTCGATGATTGAAATGCTAATTCGGTTCGAGATTGTTGCCTGCAAAATCCTTGTGATCGGAATAAATTTCGCTTTTGTTTACCATATGTTTGGTCAATTCTCTAAATGTTCTTGTTATTTCCTTCCTATTTCTTCATTTTTTTGGTGGCAACTTGTCCTGGATAGTGCGATAATTGGATTCATTCCCGTGTTTTATGTCGCACCTGGGCGTTACTTGTAGAAAAACGGAAACAGTTGCAAGATTTATTGGTGACACGAGGGTATATTAGTTTTGGGTGGTTTTGCAGCTGTTTTGCATAGTCTATTGGCCATTCTCTTCACAAATATAAGAATGCACCAATAAGGTCTCCTTCTCATTTTTAGTCAATAGTATAGGAGAATGCACCAATGAGGTCTCCTTCTCAGTTGTTTCAACAGAAGATTCGGATGCAGTCTCAAGATCAGAATAAGGATATGAAGCCGAATCTCCTCTCTTTTCTACTGCTGAGGTGTTGTATCCAGGGTGGTATAATTATCATGTGATGGTGTTGCTATTGTTGTTGCTGCACATTTGATGTACGGTTATGATCTCTTCAACAAGCGCCTCAGTGTGATGATTCATTTTCCTTAAAGAGAATTTTAGTTCTCTCGTAGAAAATCTTGAGGTTATTCATATTTATCTTTTCAAAGCATTGAAAGAAGACTAGATGTGAAGAACTACTCTCTGGAAGAAGACATGCTTTCTGGAAGTAGGTGTAGTGTGGCCTTGTGAAAGCTGCACTCCTTCTAACAATTCGTGCAGAAATATCTTGGGAACATCTATGATATCCATAATTTTAGGGTTATGGAGTGAACTTATGCTGCAAATAGGGGGAAGAGAATGCACCTCGAAATATTTCTATAGGTCACTAACTATAGTGCAAGCAAAATTATGAGAAAATATTAGATGAGATCCTATTATTACATGATTTGTAAATTTTAAGCTATGGTATTATGAGCAAATTATCTACAGATAGAAATTCTTTGTGCCTATCACTCTTATGCATTGGTATTTAGATGTGTACTTTTGTACTGAAAGTGAAGTACTCATTAACCTTTGCAAGCATTGATCAATAAGATGTAGTGTAGGGTGTTGGATGATGCTCATGAGTTTTTACATTGTTGCAGGCTGTTCAGTTTTGTCTAACTTTGCAAACATTTTATTGTACCTCTAAGCCACCAGTTCTGTTTACAGAGAAGGGTTGGGTTGATATCTGGAGAGTTGCATTTTAGCCAGTCGATATGCTTCTTGTCGCAATAGAATAATCTCAAGTACCAGCCAGACTGTTGCATCCTGACTTCTAGAATTGCCACCACCTTGAAATTGGAAGTGAAATACATCACCTATGTATTTTGGTTTAAAATTTTTCTAAAATCATACACGTACCGTTTCTCAAATGTGATTGCTCCTGTAAAGTTCATTTATTCCTATGGCATAATGATTGCAAATCTGATTATTTTTTGTATAAAATAGAAACTTGATAGTTAATATTTGTCTTTCAGCACATGCCAAATAAGCAAATAGTACTTTTCATTTGAAGAAGCTGATACATATAAAGTCAGAGAAATTTGTGCATCACTGAGTGATACACACAAGTCCACATAACAGGATAAGCTTGGACTCTTCCTGTAAAAATGGTGCACAGCATGATTTGATTCCTTGTTGTAGAGGACATTTGTGGAAATATTAGATTTAGCGGGTAATACACTCATTTCAGAGTTACATATACAAAAACAATAAGAAAAGACAAGTTTTAACTTTTAGCTCCTGTGGATATGCTCGTTTTGATCATAGAATCATCTTATGTATTGGACAGACTGTTGCATCTTGACTTCTAGATTTGCCACCTCCTTGAAATTGGAAGTGAAATATACAACACTTATGTATTTTGGTTTTAAAAATTATAAAAAAATTATGTATCTATCTTTTATTGAATGTTATTTCTTCTGTAAAGTTCAGTTATTCTTATGGGCACAACGATTATGAATCTGATTATACTGTTGTATAAAATAGAAACTTGATAGTTAACAGTTGTCTTTCAGCACATAGCAAACAAGCAAATAGTACCTTTCATGTGAAAAAGCTGATACATATACAAAGTCAGGGAAATTTGTGCATGACACTGAGTGGTACACAACACATCCACATAATACGATAATGGTGGACTCTTCCTATACAAATAGCCCACAACAAGATTTGATTCCTTCCTTTGAAGGGCATTTGTGGAAATATAAGATTTAGAGTGTAATACACCCATTTCAGAGTTAAATACACACAAAAAAAAAGAAAAGACAGGTTTAAATTCTTAACTTTATATACTGATGATGTTGCATTTTTGGATGATTATTTATTCCCTTTTATTTATTTGCAGGTGTATTTATATGGGGGTCATGTAACATCTTGGAAAAATAACCATGATGAGGAGTTGCTTTTTCTCAGCAGTAAGGTACCAGAACTGTTTGCAAAACATCAAAAATTTCAAACATATAGTTTGTTTATCCTTATGGTCAATAATACTTGTTAATGATAATGAGATTAAGGAAAGATGAAAAAATTATTTTAATAAATTATTTAATAATTATTCCACGTAGAATTTAGATTTAACGATAAATAATAGTAGTAAATTTATTCATAAAACCAGAGCTAATGTTTGGATCTCTCTCTCATTATGGGTGTACCTTGAGGTGGTTGCTATTTGTTTGAAGGCATCACTTTGTAATGTTTCTCTAAGTCAGTCTAGAAGAATGAATCTGTATATCTTACTTGTACAAAATGATTATTAGAACAATATTAATTTGATTGTATGTATGCATGTACCAAAATCAGTATTGGGTTTGGGATTGAGAAAGAGTATTGGTTGACTTGGATCATGTGGAACTGGATCAGCTGAGAGTTAAATAAAAACTATGAAAAATGATGAAATATCAAAACAATAGATAATTTAAAATAAACTTTTGAGATATAGTTTCTATTACTTTTATCATGATCTCTAACTTTTGAAAAGGAAATTTGGAAAAAAAATATAATGAAGACTCTTCTCCACTCAGTTTTCTTCTCTCGATATCATTTGTTCTCTGTGTTATATTGGTGGATAGCGAATATTGCAACAATAATGGCAAATAGAAAAAGTGATGGTTGTAACGAATAATGGACTTAATAGTAGCATCATTCCCTCTATTTTATTATTGCAATCATAGATTTTTTTCCCCTTCCATCTTAGCTATCCTATTCTTCTGCTTACCCTATTTCCACTCCTCCCTCTTTTTTTTCTTCTTTTGAGATAGTCACATCAACTAGAATAAGCAAAAATCAGCCAAGTCTTGTTGAAGTTCGATCTAGTTTGCTGATTTCGACCATAAGGCTAAGAACTCGACCCTTGGGAGGTTAGTGACTTGGATCAAGTAATGTTAACCACACCATGAACTATGAAATCCATAATAACTTGCTAAGTTTCTGCCATTTTATGTATTCAATATTCAATCGGCAGCACTGAATACCATACCAGGTAACTATTTGATTGTGTAACATAAATCACAATTTTGATTTTTCTTCATCAGTGTTTATGTAGGCTATATTTCCCTACTGTAATCAATCTTTCTTGTCTTTTTTATTGCTAAAGTCAATTATTTGCCTATGATCAATCTTGCTCATTAGTTTTCTACAGTTAGGTGCACTGATTGTTTTCATCATGTCTCTTCTTCAAATGCCAAACTGAGTCCCACAGTCTGGGTTTACTGTTCCTGTTTTGACATGTATATGATGTCTTCCTTTTTGATGATCATATTTTTGTCATGTTTTATTTTTCTTTGTTTTTTGTAGGCTATATTCAAGCCTCCAAAAGCTATACGTGGGGGCATCCCGATATGCTTTCCACAAGTATGACATTCTCCTTATCATATTCTTTTTTTTTATACTTTTGCTGGGTTTATTTATGTTTCATCACCTAATTTAATAAAAATGCAGTTTGGAAGCCATGGAAATCTTGAACAGCATGGGTTTGTAAGGAATAGGTTTTGGAGTATTGATAGGAGCCCTCCTCCTCTTACAGTTAGCTGCAATAAAGCTTTCGTCGATTTGATCTTTAAACCAAGTGAAGAAGATCTCAAGATATGGCCTTATAGGTATACTAGCCAGTCAATGTACACAAATCCTTTATTATATTTGAGCTGTAAAATGTATCAAAATTTTCTTGCTTTTTTACTACTGTCATGACTGTTAATAGATTTTTTAAGCTAAAATAATTCTAAAAAAATTTAAGCTTGGTGGAAGTTTTTGCTACCTGCTTTTGCAGTTATGAATTTCGTCTAAGGATTACCATAGGACCTGGAGGAGATCTAATGCTGACATCACGGATAAAAAATACTGATGGAAGGCCATTCTCCTTCACATTTGCCTACCGCACTTACTTTTCCATATCTGATATTAGGTAATGTAAATAACTTTGAATTTGGTTTGGTACTCAAATATCTCATGCTGTCCTATTAATATTTTAGATATGATTTCTCTGGTTTTTTACATATATCTAGTTTCACTTTTCAGTGTATAATTGCTGCAGATTCTCCATGATTTCTTTAAATATTCATAATCATCATAAGGTTTCTATCCAACACTTTATTTATAATAATCAATTTGAAAATACTCCAGACCATAATTCTATATTCCTGACCAAAATCCTTTTTTTGGCTGGATAATCATCTAGGCATAGTGTTAAAATGTACTGATGCCAATTAAATTCATACAATAGTATTAGGCCAAGCTATCTGTTTTGGTTGCATATAATAAGACACTGTAGCATGACTTAAACAGATGTTGCAGATGTCAGCCTGTATTGACCATAGATGTATGAGATGCTCTTTGTAGCAGGTAGTGTTGTTTGGACCAGCATTTGCCATTTGGGATACTGGACCCATCTCGAATATTTGTTGGGCCAGTATGTACCGGTGTACACATGGTACACTGGTAAGTTCCAGTGTTTTGGAGAGGAAGAAAAGAGGGAGAAGTGGAAGGGACGATGGAGGAAAGAGGAAGAAAGAGAGAAGAAGAGGAAGCGACGGAGGAGGGAGGAAGAGGAGAAGAAACATACCTGAGTAGTGACTAGGGCAAATAACTTGCGTGGTGGTGTTCAGCTAGGTTACAGCAAACTGAGGTCGTCGGTAACTGCCTGCGTGAGAAGCGTTGATCGCAACATCAGTTGCGTGGCAGTGTGCAGCATCCATCACAGCAAGCGGAGGTTGTGGTGATGAGAAGTCATAGGCTTGTAGCATCGATCGCATGAGAAGTGAAGGCAACGTGGAAGTGGGATTTAGGGTTTCCCGCTTCCCTTTTATATGTCAAATCGGACTGGGGTGAGTCTGCATATCGGTCAGTGCTCAGACCGATATGTGCTGCACATTTTGTTCCAGTCCGAGCGAAATGGTAATCATTGGTTTGAACACTCTTTAAATGTCAATCGGTTGTTAGTTGGATCAGAGACTGTCCAAACCCTGTCCATTTAGTAAGTGTCAATTGGTTGTTCGAGTTGCTTCTGGTCAGGAATGATAACTGCTTTCTTACAGACATTTATTGAATATGAAAAACCTACTGATGGCACAATTTGACCTGTTTAAGTGACTTGAAGAAGTCAGCCAAGATATGATGCATATATGTTCTAAATCAATTTTATTCAATTGATTGGGATCCAGTGTTACCTGGACATGTTCAGTCTCAGATTGTCACATATTCTTGTGTCATAGAGATGTGCCTGGACATGTGCTGGACACCCTAATGGCACATCTCTGAGAGGAAGAATAGGAGGGAGAAGGAAGAAAGAGGATAGGCACCTACTTAGCCAGTCGCTCTGCTGCTGTATTGATGCATCTGCTGAGAGATTTTTTTTTGTGGCATCCCCTCATGCCTATTGCCCCTCCTGCTTTATGCAAGTATGCTATATATGTCGTGTGTTATCCATGACCTATAAGCATAGAAATGCTTTAAATCTCTACAAGGGAAGCCACAAACAATCTTGCCATCAATCATACACCTGAGCATGTGTATTGCACCACTTCCCATGATTAATGGCACATTTTATGCACACTGTTTTTTTAGGTGTTTAAAGCACTGTGCAAGGCTACAAGTGTAGGCTAAAATAAACAAGTAGATAGAAAACAAAATGGGGAAGATATAATCAAATATGTTGGTGAAGTTCTTTATTAACCTGAAGTGTGCATTGATTCAAGAAAATAAAATCGCCTATACATTTCTAAATAAAAAATTTAATATTAAGAAAATTATATAGTTGTGTATATCATTTTCTAAAACTTTTAGTATTGGATTCGCATATTGTTGTCTAGGTAATATTAATCGAATCTGATTAGCCAAATTAAATTATGATCAGGTTTGTGTAGAGCTGTTTATAGCCAAATTCATTAAAGGTCAACCTGAAGGTTAATTTCTCTTCCATCTTGTGTCAAGTTGGTGGATTGCATTGTGATGCTACCTTGGTCTACTTGACATATATGCTTCAATCTTGGGCAGCAGAGAAGTTAATGAATGTAATTGCAGAATTTCTTGATCCTATAAATGAAAAAAATGATGAAACTGTCAAGTACTTTGAGTTTAATGTGTGAGATCTACAGAGAGAACAAGGTGAATAGATGATAAGCACCTGAGAGAACAGAGGAGAGGCAAGTTGATCTATCTGAATAACTTGTTGGTTTAGATGACACCTTATTTGTGGTTTCACAAAAATAGAATAGTTTCTTCTAATGGTATAGAATTTGACTCAATTTAACAATCAAATTTTGGTGATTGTTTTTGTATGATTATTTTGTCCAAAGGATTTCTACTCTTTTTGTCACATAAATAATTGTGAGTTTAATCATGGCACTATGTCCAGTTTGAAATTCTCCAGTGCTAGACTATTTCTGCAGTGGAGGAAAAACCTTATGCCTGCAAGATATGTACCCACATTTTTGCATATTATTTGCTGCTTTTGCTGTATGCTTGGCTTCACAAGATGATCCATGCCTTCCAATTTCCAAGTCTTTATATTAAAATAGACTAATTCTTCTTAATGGCCCTTGTCCTTCTAATTTTTAAATTAAGACTTTCATGTTCTATCAAGATGTACACCTCAGGCCTCTCATAAACAGAGAGCCAAAGTTCGTAATTTCGTATCGTACCGAAGTTTTGAGCTTTGCTCGATACGGTAAGGTACTGGCGTACCGAGCGATATGCCAGGATGTATCGCTCGATACATACATACATACATATATATAATATAAAAATATATAAAATAAAAAAATAAAAAAGGAGGCATAGGTTGCCTCGACGACGTCGCATCCTTTTCTTCTTCTCTTCGCGTCAGACGAGGAGAAGACTACGGTCTTCTCCTCATCTATGACGTTCGGGGAAGACGTCAAAGGTTATAGACGTCTCCGGCCTTCAGCGAAGAACGTGGCGAAGGCTGCAGGCATCTCCGGCCTTCAATTGTCTAGGAAGGGTGGCGTCGGATTGGGAAGCATCGAGGTTCTCCTGATTCTCCCTCTTCTTTGAGCGCCTTCTCCTTCTTCTCCTTCGACGCTTCTTCTTCCCTCGTCGTAGCCAGGCTGATACTGCCCAGTAGCGGGTGGCGACGGTCGAAATCGATTGTTACCAACCTGTTTCGGACGATAACGATCGAAATATCGACTGTTACTGTCCGATATAGCCCCGTATCGGACGATAGGGGGCTAGATCAACGGTACCGCCCGGTAGCAGGCGATCCGCGTATTGGTCTACTGGCGGACCGGTACGTACCACCCGGTACGGACGGTATTATTCGGTATTGTAATCCTTGCAAAGAGCTGCTGATTCTTTGTGAAAATAATTGAAACTATAAAACCTATCTTGCTTAAGCAAGATAGACTTTAATAGCTTTATGTGAAGTGAGAAACATGATTAAAAATGTTGATCTGATTAAAAGCAATTAGGTCTCTGCTGGCTAAAAGAAGTAGAATTTTAAGGAGAAATGGTTAGCTTAAGTGAAATTTACATGTAACATCGTCTTTGACGTGCATGCATATCTTGTTAAAGCCTCCAGCTAGCACAGTATGTAATATAAAACACTGGGCCCTTACCTGCACAGTGTCATAATGCCGAGGCCCAAATAAGATAGGACTTGATGTATGCAGCTGTGTGCTATGTCATGGTTGAATTGACATTTTTACAAGGCATATATGCAACAAGTCCCACATTGTATGTATGCTGGTAATGTAACATATCTATATTAAATCAATACTACTGGCATGATACACATCACACTAAGGCCAACACTTCAATACTTTATTCAAGTCATCAGGGAATTAACATACTTGTTGCGAACATCCAATTTGTCTTTGCAAATTAGATTTGGTCGAGGAAGCTTATTATTTTTAGATAATGCAATATGAACTTTTGAATTTTTTTTAGTACCAACTTCTTTTTGGACCTTTATGTCAAGTAAAATTTTCAGTGAAGTGCGAATCGAAGGACTGGAGACTCTTGATTACCTTGACAATCTAAAAAGCAGGGAACGTTTCACAGAACAATGTGATGCTATTACTTTTGAATCTGAAGTAAGTACATAAGCCTGATCATGGGTTGATACATTATTTGATGCTAAAAATTCTCTTTTTGACAGGTGGATAGGATATATCTGGAGACACCAACTAAGATTGCGATTCTGGACCACGAAAAAAAGCAGACATTTGTTTTGCGAAAAGATGGGCTTCCTGATGCAGGCATGTCTAGATTGTATTTTTGCAGTTTCACTTAATTATTGGTGTTGGGTAACCTTATAGTAGAAGTTAACCCTTTTGGATTGGATAACTTAGCTGTTGTGTTTGGTAATATATTATCATGTTTTTGTCAGTGGTATGGAATCCTTGGGAAAAAAAGGCCAAATCCATGATGGATTTTGGAGATGATGAATACAAGCATATGCTGTGTGTGGAGGCTGCAGCTATTGAAAAGGCCATCACTCTAAAGCCTGGTGAGGAATGGAAAGGAAGGCTGTATCTATCTGTTGTTCCATCCTGTTATCGTAGTGGGCAACTGGCTCCTTTGAGGGTTCTTCAAGGATGAAAATCATGTATGTCCTTATCATCTAGTTTTCGGTAAACTTGTTGATATAGCTTATCAGATGAAAATAGTGTGATTTTTTGCTCTAGGCTGCAATTATTTTAATTCAAGAATCTCATGGTAAAATATTCATATGGTGTTCGAGTGTGGGCGATTACTTTGGAATCTACAGGTTAAATCTTTTCTAATATGTTTGATATTGGAATATCACTATAATATTTACAAATGAAGTTTAATCAAACCTTTTATAGTCTCTTTTGCTAACTCCAATAATCTCCGCTGTCTCATATTTAGTTCTTTTGAATAAAAAAATATTTCAAACTCTTGTAATTAGTATATATTTCGCATTTCTCCTCTTGAAAATAATATTGTCAAATTTTTAGGGCAAACACCACCACTACCAACTCTAAATCATGAGTCGGATAGTTCTTATAATGTTTTAGCTATCTTGAGGCATAAACTATAATTCTATCATTTTGCATCAAAACACATCCTAGATCATTTTTGGATATATCATTATATACCACGAATCCTTCTGACTTATATGATACAATACAAATTGAAGCTGAAATTAATCTCTTTTTCAGTTGTTAGTCATACTTCGACTAATTTTGATTAAGGTATAATGTAATCATTGACATCGGATTGCTTATTTAGACAAAAATCAAGTGTTGGGGTGTGCTTTACTTTTGCATGCAAAGAGATTTATGATTAATTTATCTTTAATATGTCATATAGGATGGGCACAAAAAATTGTAGGACACTTGGGCACCTATGCTTGTAAATTGAAAGCTTACCAGTGTCGGGTGTAATGAGACTACCTTATTTAGTTGAGACCTAGTATTACCCTTAGCAGAGATCAATGGCAGGAATAGAACCACCCAAGTAATTAAAACCTTAAACTCGTTGTTTTTGCTAATCAAAGAGAGTCATGGAACTTACAGCATAAGTTCGTTTATTTACAAGTTTTTAACTTGTTTATTAGCATTTTACATGTTCTATAGTTATTGGAATACCGAACCTTCTTGTTTATACATGATTTATCAACAGTTAGATTATTTTTCTTTTATAATCTTGTTTTATTACTACGATATAGGCAGCTTATATCATGCATCCTTGGGATACTTTGTTCCCTTCTCTTCGAGGTTCCTGACAATTTTATCATATTTTTGTCTTAGTTGATTTGTCATTATAATTTGCGTACTTTGCGTAGAACTTCTGTAAATAATGTTTGCCAATTTTCGTTGTTGATTTACATAATGAATATGTACGTCACCAATTTGGCTTGTTTTCATAATGGATTCAGATTAACTCTTTTGACGACTACGATGTGGGTGCATGAAAGCGAATTAATTCTTTGTTCGTCCTTTTTTTTTTCCCCTCCTTTTGTAGTTAAGGACTCAAGCAGATGTGTGAAAAGATAGTGTTGGATGTGGTTATCCAAATCTTTTACATCTTTTTCACCCGAGATGCCTTACTCTTGTTCTCATTGTTAATTGTTTGATGCAGCTTGTGTGCACTGCTTCAATCAACTCGGATACTGTGTTCATCATTTACATAAGCAATCTATGATTTTTAGGCATCATATTCCGTATTTCATATCTTATTTGTGCCATGTATTCGACTGTTGAGCAAGAATGTTCCTCAAGCCTTTTTTTTCCTTTTAATGACACCATTAAACCTGGTTCTTAACTAATGCTTTCCACTTCTGCGTATCTTATATTTGCAATGCTGTGACCGAGGTAGCCCATACAAAATATGTCAGTCTTCATGGTAGTCGTGTCCCCTTAGGAAGTGTGTTACGTTGGATATTTAGATACAATCATGCCATTATAACTTCAATAACTGTTCATTTGGTATCAGGTCAGAATCAAAAGTCTTAACAATTTGACAGCATCCATTTCCAGCAGCGGCGGCGCCCAATCCGAAACTTGGTCCTTCAGGTCTCTCGAAGCACTCAAGTCAATTCAGAACAGTAGGTACGATGACAAACTTGTCCAAGTGAGGCTAATTCAATTCCTGTTTCCGTTGGCAAAATTTTGTCCCTCGTCCCAAGCTCTCCCGCTCTCCAACACAAGACAATGTCATTTGTCGGAGTGTCGAAGTCACAACCGATGCTTGCAGCCAATCAACGAAACGGAGAACTCAGCCGCAAGCGTTCGCACCAACAACGTGCGTAAATCTCCCCAAGCTCGACAAATTCTAAATGCCCAAAAGTACTACAGTCTACAGAGACGTTAAAATAATAATAAAAAGGAGTTTGTGTAGGAAGCGAAAGAGAGAGAGAGAAAGGGGGAAACAGAAGATAGCCAGTCGAGCGACTCCTTTGGTTCGATCAAATCCCAATTCAACGCCCGGGACGAGAGAGAGCGAGGAGTATAGCAGAAGCAGCAGCAGCAGCTACCGAAGGACGACGAATTGAAGGATTTCCCGTCCGCCGCCGGCGATGAGCCCCGCAATCCAATACAAGCGGCTTGGGCTATTACTTGGAGCTCCGTGGGGTCAGCTCAAATCCTCCTCCTCTTCTCGATTTCCCGTTTCCTTCTATGGATTCTCCTCTTCCTTCTTTTTGTGGCTCCTGCTTTGGTTTAACTGAGATTCCGTTGAGATGCGGTTGGCGCAACTGTAGATTCTGCGATCGCAGACCGCAGTTCAGATCGCCTCCTGCTTCCGTGACGGAACTGAGGCGCGAAATGAGAGCTCCTTTTATGTACTGAAATGGGTTTTGGTTTTGGTTGTTTCTCATTGCCTTAGGGTTTTCGATCGCCATATCGCCATCTTTGATACTTGAGGGTTCGAATTAGTACCTCTCGAGGGTTTTCAACTCAAAGATGCCGCCTTGGTGTGGGTCTTGATCTCGCAGTGCTTTAGGGTTTTCTTGGTGGAAGATGATGTTCCTTCCTGCATTGCTTCCCCCCGTCAGGTTGGCGTTGGATGCGGATCCAGTTCTCTGTAAAACAAGGCGCAATTCCTTATCTTGAACGACACCCACAAAGAGAATAGGAAGAGGAGCAGAAGAGAATTAATTTCGTCTCTTTGAGTATGGACACTATTGACTGAGAGATGAAGCCATTGGCACAACCGCAGGCGTCGTTGCAACTGCGGCATCATTCTCGGATCAACCTCAGCGTCCTGAAGTCCCAGATAGCAAAACAGCTGGGCACGAAACGAGCACAGTGCTACTTCAGCTATCTGAATGGGTTGCTATCACAGAAGTTGAGCAAGTCTGAGTTCAACAAGCTCTGCTTTGTTACTCTTGGCCCTGAGAATCTCCCCTTGCACAACCAGCTGATTGGATCGATCCTTAGGAATGCCTGTCAAGCTAAAACTCCACCACCAATCACTCATGACAAGGGTGTGCAAAAGCCCGTAAAAGCTTCTCTGAAGAAATCACGACAAGGAGATGATGGATTCAATTCATCGAAGACCCCAACGTCAATGCCCATCTCATCAAATGGACGTAACTTGCTTCTATCACCTTGCAGGATTACGGTTGGGTCCCAGAATTGGCATTTTAAAGACCACCAAAGCCCTCCCGAACCCCATGGGACAGCAGAGATTGCTTCGGATCAGTCTGTAGTAACTTATGATGAGGTTGTTAGCAGGGAGAATGGTGACTTGAGTTCATCCAATTTGAGAAGACTGCAGCATCAGCAGGGTGAGCCTGTGGAGCAGCTGGCAAAGAGGCCAAGGTTGGCTATGCCATTGCTTCATGACCAGGGTTCAGTACATGGCAAGGATTTGGTTGGAAAGTCTAATGTGGAAGATAGGGATAGACTAGACCATTGGGAATGCTATAGAGAACCTCTTCGAGCCCCACTTGGCATTCCATTTTCTTCTTCAAACATTGGTGGGGCAAGAAGGTGTCTACTACCAAGAGCCAGTGCTAGCAGTGGTGGTTTTGGTAGCAGCTATCATAGTGGTGAGTTATGCAATACAGAGATTTTGAAGAAACAAATGGAGAAAATGGCTGAAGCACATGGTTTAGGAGGAGTAACTATGGATTGTGTCAATCTATTGAATTATAGTTTGGATACTTATCTGAAGCGGTTAATTAGGTCATGTGTCGAGCTAGTTAGAGCAAGAACTGGGCATGAATTAATAAAGCAGACTGTCTTCAGACTGCAGCCCTATAGAAAACCTATCACTGGTACTTGGGTGGGAAATAACATCCCAACACAAATAGGAGGACCTTTGGAAGGCAGTCATGAGCTGAAAAACTGCTGCTTGATATCTATGCGGGATTTTGTGGTAGCAATGGAGCTGAATCCACAGCAACTCGGAGAGGATTGGCCCTTGCTACTTGAGAAAATACGTATTTGTTCATTTGAAAAATTAGATGGATCCAGGTAAAAATTTGGTTTGTGAGAAACTGTTGGCTGAATTGCCTCAGTATCCGAGGGCTATGAGTGCCTGTATGAACACTGTATCACACCACAGCTTCAAGATACACTTTGCAAGGCTTCATGGGATCAGAGCAGACGAATTCTGTTAGATCCTTCCAAGGAACATAGCCACAAGCAGCATCACATTCTATTTGGTTCATCCTGCCAATGGGAAGAGACAATCCTGTTTGGCCCATATGTTGTACATTTTAGTGGTGATGAGTGGTGTCTCAAGTACTACCAGGGATCTCAAGTGTAAATGTAATTACGAAAATGGAGGATTCCGGAGGCAGTTTTGAAGGAAAGTCATTTGTAATTTATACATATGTAAGTTCAGAGGTTTGCATTGTGTCTTATCAATTGGGAGAATTGTTTGATTGGTCTCAACTATCATTTCATGGGTATTTTCTTTTTCTAATAAAAAAAATTCCTAATCATTTGGCAATTAAATCAGTAAAATCTAACTGTGCTCCTTTTAATGTTGTTTGTAAGGGTGCTCTTTTATTAGGAGATGATGTACTCATGTAGTTCTTCTGGAAGAAATGATAACCATTTTGAGAGTTTCTTGTTTCTATTCAGTGTCGATTTTGGTTCCTTGTTAGTTAATTCAGTAAGCTGGGATAGCTGACTGAGGTGTGTGGTTGTCAGCTTTGATACGTATATGTACCATTTTGCAACTTCTTGAGGAGCAATAAGTAGATTTAAAAAAGATACTAGGTTAATATTATCCATCGGATAAGATGTGATGACAATCAGAAAGTGCCTATGAAGACAGGTAAAGAAGCATTTGTTGAATATTTCATTTTAATGTATTTTTTTCTTTTATTTCTCCATTCCACTCTTTTATTTTTTTTATGGAGAAAGTTAACCTGATGGATTGGAGGTTTAGTACAAAAGGGCTCCTTTAAAGTTGTATAAGGCCCCAAAAAGAAGATATCTGAGAAAGCATCCAACAGATGCAGAGGTCACTGTAGTGTAGATGTTCTTTCTGCTACAAACTGAATGCCATTTTTTATGTTGTTTTATACGGATGAGACTTGGTGGTTATTGACACACTTCTTTCCTTCGTTTAACACGTATGCAATGTTGTTTTTCAGGTTCTGCAGGTCAGTGTTTCACCTTTTACACAGATATCCTCCCACTAGGGAAGAACTGTGTTGCGTCCTGCTAGAATGTGTGACAAAGGTTAGATAACTTAAAGTACCACTGGTTCTACCATGTTTTCCTGACAAATATTATTAACCACATTTGTATACGATAGTTACTCATTGCCGCTTGTCCATTCTGTTTGGCTTTGATTTCTGTGTTGCCCTTACAGGAAACAATTAGTGCTGAAGTATATGTAGAATCTCTAAGACAAGCAGTTCAGCAGCTGATATATGGTATTATTAAAATTATTCTTAAGCTACAATATTTCAGTTGGTAGAAGCATCATCCGGTTTTATGGCAAAGTACATGATCTTTTTTGAAAGAGAGAAGCAAGGTTTAAAATTTCGGTGCCAAAGGTCTGACTAGGAGAGATAGGAGGAAGCGGAAGTGGAAGAGGAAGAGGAGGAAAGAGGTGACGACACATATCGATAGGAGAAAAAAAAAAGAAGAAAAAAGACAAAGTTGAGCTCAGTTGCTATGTTGTAGATTATTCCATGAAATTCTCTCTTATGCATAGATTGGAAAAAACTGATACGGAGATACAGTTGGAGCTAGGAGGTTAGTAGATTGACCTGTGAATTTATCATTCTTGTGATCATTTTTCTCACTGGTCTGACCTTTTGCACTTTGTCAGCTGTATCTTACTGATCTAAATCACATCATCATGGTTTGTTCTGGTTAATAAGATCTTATATGATGACTTTGCATCTTCGTTATGATGATAATGGTTCATAATTCCATTCTTGAGTTTGTTATTTTGTCATGTAAAATCTTCATGAAAAAAGTTCTTTTTCTGCAAATGCCAGTTTCTTGTGATCCTTTTTCTAGTTCATCTCTCTTGAAATGAATATCTTCATATGATTACTACAGTTACCAAAAAAATCTCTAATAAAGTCTTCTCTCAGTTGGAAAAACTTTCCCTGGTGCTCCTGTTAGGAATTGGTGCTTTCTAGTTTTCAACGCTGAAAGTTGGCAAATGCTTTATTAGTGGAGAGCTAACATTTTAGTGGTAAGTCATTCGATGTTCTTGGAAGAAATACTTTCATATTGAATCTATTTGCATTTTTGCAAATTTGTTTTTTTTTTTTGGCTAAATTTTCTGATTTGGCCTGTGTGGTATCTTCCATTTTGTTCTTGTACCGGTTAATAGCTTATATTCATAATATGGTACTCTTTCTCATTGCTATTATGGATTGTTTGCATGATATGTTGGGTGTAAGACTAGGTCCCTAAGATGGATGTCAGTTCTTTATGATCTAGTTCTTTATGATCTAGCATACGTTGAACCGTGTAATATTTTTCTGATCATTGTTGGGTAATTTAATGTGCATAAACATTTAGATCATTTACTTTAGGGTAATACAATATAACAATTTCTTTTACGAAGAGATGTTCATATCTTGATTGAACTTGGTGCACATTAGACCATGTACAAAAGCAACTAAAAGCTACTAAGCATCAAGAGATCAGGAAAAAGGTCTCCCACAAATCTGGGTCACCAGTGACTTCCAGGAATAATACTTTTTGATCAGTCTCAGGAACAATATCTAATCTTTTTGTTAAACTTTATATGAAAGTCCTGATATATTTGTGCAAAATACATAACATGACTTGAATGAATCCATAAATAAGTTCCTTCATTTGTGCATTTACTGCATTTGTAGGTAAGATGTTTCACTTACAAAGGCGGTGATCTGCAAGAAGAAAAGGCTTCCTTAGGACAATGGAGATGCCTTGCGGATTGGGCACCAATTCTTCAGTCGAAGCCACTGATGGATGCAGGCAACATGGAAGCAATGCTTCACCACCATATTCCTCATGAAAGGAAAGAAGAGTGAGAAACCTTTCCTCCTTCAAATGCAAAATAGGTGAACATTTGGTGCACAGTGCATTGCATCTCTGAACATTTCTTAGGTGTTCCTAAGGAAATTATAAGAAGGAATTTAGCTCATGGATTAAGTTGTTTTTGAATTAATATCTCGAATGTCAATCAGCATATAATAGTTCAAGAAACATTCAACAGCAGGAACCCATGATATCTGACATTTGATAATACTTTAACGATAATAATAATTCATAATATCCTAACTGCTTGTGATCGGTAAAATGAATCTTTTTCTGTCATATTCGTGATATTTTTAATTAAAGGGTTACCGTACCTCAGTGATTAATCCATACATCTTTATTCGTATCTAAAATAATTCATACATCTTTAAAAATGTAATATATAAGCTTATATTACATATCAATTTTTAATAAATTATTAATATAATAACATATATAATTTAAGTTAAAAAAAAACTGATACCATCATCAATAACGAGATAAAGTGTCATCGCAGAATCGATCAATAGCAGCAGCATTGAGTTGTTGTTGCCTAATAAGGCATTGTACGTACATAATCTCTCTCGCACTAACAATGAGTAAAGGAGCCTCCGGTCCTACCTCAAGTGGATGTGTGTCGACCAATCCAACGCTAAGCACATAGTGGTCTCTTGGTCTCTCTTCCTCCTCCTAGGTATTTTCATCCTCACTGCCTCCCACTTCGTCCTCTCCTACGCCCCCTCGTGCCTATGATGTGGTAGTTCAGTTCTCTCTCACCTCCACCTTTAGCCTCTCCTACCTTTGTTTTTTCGCAAGGGAGGTGGCTTATAAGGTATTGTAGTACTTGTGGGGATCGGAGTAGGTGTCGTTTACGATGGCGGGCAACATTGTGGTGGCATACGTTATGGAGCTGGTGAGTGACATCTGATAGATCCAGCTCACTAGCTCTATGGCGCATGCTTATCACGATGCTGCCCACCACTGCACACGACACTCGCTCTGATTCTGACGAGCATCACCATACCTTATAAGTCATCTTCCTCGTGAAACACGAAATCACAAAGATGAAAAGTAGGTGAAAGGAGCGATTGAGCTGGTCCATATAGCCCTCCCGTACTCGCTCGCTCTCCCCTACCAACTTGTCGAGGAAGAGGAAGTGACAAAGGCCATAATGGCAGATGAAGGCAAAAAGACAGAGGTAGGAGATGCCGGAGGCGGAGGCGAGGAAGAGCTGGACTACCATGTCGTACGTGCAACAAGTGGGGACACAAGAGAGGATGAAGTGGGAGGCGGTGGGGACAAAGATGCCTAGGAAAAGGAAGAGTGACTAGGAGACCACTACATGCCCAGTGTCGGATTGGTCGACGCACATCCACCTGAGGTAGGACCAGAAGCTCCCGAGCTCATCATCAGTACGAGTAAGATTACGTCCGTACAATGCCCTACTATATAGCAACAACTCGCTGCTGTTGGTGGTCGATTTCACGATGACGCCTCATCCTGCTACTGATAGTGGTCTCAATTTTTCTTTTAATGTAAATTATGTATCATTATATTAATGGTTTATTATAAGTTAACATACCACGTAAGTAAATTCTAATGTTTATTATCTCAGGCTTGATGAGAATGGCTTATTTGCTATATTTTTTAAAATATAAAAGCTATTTTAAACGTGATTAAACGATAAGGACTTAAGAGGTCTGATATCAAAATTATGAGAGCTAAAATAGATTTTAACCCTTAATTAAATAAAAAAAATATTTAAATAAAGTTGGAATGATACGAATCACTAAAATTTAGAAGTTAGAATGTGTTTGATTCATGGTGAATCATGGAAGACAGTCAAAGTGCTTCTCATCTCATATAACTAGAACTAGACGAATCACTAAAATTTAGAAGTTGGAATGTATTTGATTCATGGTGAATCATGGAAGACAGTGAAAGTGCTTCATGAGCCAAAATTATTCAAGGATATAGGCTTATCAAGTCGGAACTGCTAAAAAGGGAAAGGCTATCATGTCCTCTAGCTTTATATGAATGTTCGTAGTGGAAGGTTGTTTTCTTTTCTTTTTTTTATCATTACAATTTGCAAGTATAACAAACATAGTAACTCATTCAATAAGATGACTAAGTTCAAGAAGGAATGACATGAATTGAGACCCAACAAGCTTGACTAGTATACAAAATAGCATTAGCTCCAAGTCTTAATTAAACCCAAGACCTCACTTTGAGGAATTATCATTAATTTGATGAAATAATATTTCAATGGTAAAGAATTTATATTGGCAAGAGTAGTTAATTAAAACCATTAATGACAATTAAAAGAGAGATAGTGACTGTGAAGATATTGGTGATAGCCAAATCAATCCAGTTTGATGCTCGAAAATAATGAGGCGCATCCGTTCGAGAATGCTTTAGACTATAAAATAAATCAATATCAAACGGGTCTTTAATATAGTTCTTTTGATATTTAAGTTAGTATCAAAATAATATTTTAAGATTCGAAGTGAAGATGAGATATCATAATTCAATAAGGCATCTCCTCTTAATCGCAAGCGTTTAGAAAAAAAAAATATTCTACGAAGAGAAGATATTCGAAGAAAATTTTTTTTTTTAGGATTTGATATAGCATGTCATAGGACACGTTGTCAAAATTTTACTGACGTGATAAATTTGATAATTTTAAATTTTATCTTTTATAACTGATCGAAACATTACGTTTTGAGTTATGATCGATGATGAATATTAATGAAACGTCAACTTACGCTTTATACCATAGAACATTAAAATATCTAGCACGCTACAAGCATGTTCGGATCCGTGGCGCAATGGTAGCGCGTCTGACTCCAGATCAGAAGGTTGCGTGTTCGATTCACGTCGGGTTCAAAATATCAAATTTTTTTTTTCTTTGATAATAATATTCTCTTGCTTCTTTAGTTGCCGTCTGATGCAAATCAAACGATCTCCATATCGAAGCGACCCGTTCTCTGCATTCGGACAACGTGTATATATATATATATATATATATATTAACGCCGGGGTCTTTGCGACGGCCAGTCCCACCAGCCACGATTGGACCAAAAGTGTGTCCCACCGTTTACTTTACCGAGTCACGTGGGTTTCTACGATCTAATAAAATAAAAATTCGATCTAATCCCAAAATAATCAAGTTTCTTTTTTTTTGTCTAAACAGTAGAAGATTAACATCTTTTCTAAAAAAAAAAAAAAGGAAGTATGTGCGATCAGAAAGCGTCTGCACTCCGATCGACCAAATGATGATGTACAACCTATGGGCCAAGTGTGTTTTGATAACACACAACTCATGAGCCAATGTGCATTTCGACAAGAAATAATCCATAGGCCAAATGTCTATTTTGATGACACATAACCCATGGGCAAAATGTGCATTTCGACAATGCATAACCCACAAGCCAATTGCATACTTCAATAACATGTAGCCCGATAGCTTAAACATGTATCTCCCAAAATCTACTTTGCATCATGGTCCAATTGGATGTCCTTAGAACCAATAGTCCACCGTTCAAATGAAAGATCGAGATCGAAGTACTTCATAGATTGATAGTTGTATGATCTAACAACTCCGCGACAGGGGGCTAGTGATAAGAAGAGATTGACATGGCAAACATGTAAGCTCAAATGTGGCTAACAAGTTGGCCATCCTAGCCACCTGTCAGTCACACTTGATCAACAAGTGGTGATTGAATCCGAGGACATGTAGCATAATGCTCGATCATATGACCTCATAATAAGTGACGTCAAATGATGTAGGCTTTTAGCATAGCAAACATCATGCCACGCCTTTGTCCAAAATATTGCATAATCTCCTCTCACACCCAGTGATCTCCGACATAACCATTCCTCGAACGATCTATAAAAGGGATCTCAAAGGTATGCATTTCATTCGTTTACTTTTTCAAACTCACTAGCAAGTCCGATCGATCCGATCGATCCAACTAGATTTGAATTTTCTAACTTTAAGAATTGACTTGATCATCATACGGGCTGCCCATCAGTTGGCAACGACCCTGACTCAATTTTGTAAAGTAAAGCTGGCATACTGTTGTAGAACTGAGAGAGCTCGGAGATGCTTTGATTAGATTCAATTCACCTCTTCAATTCAAACAATCACTAAACACTATCTAAATTCTTTCCAATATGAGTACATCGAAGTACTTTACAATTCCATTAGTTGAGTCTAAAACATTGACTTAAAAATCACTAGCTAAGTCAAAAGTTCCCATCTTTTTCCTTGTAAAGTGATTACTCCAGTTTTAGTTGTTGATTTCAAAAGAGAACAAGAAATTTAGCAAATGACTAGTTATCAAAATTAGATCAAACATCAATCCGGTGAATTCTCGAATCATTGGATTATTGATTGATTACAGTGGGGGACTCAACTAATCTAAATTGTGAGTTTAATAACATGTTAAATAAAATATAATACGAAATAAATTGAAAAAAGTAGTGAAAGAAAATGGTAAGGATGCCGGCAAAAGAGCAACTTTTTAAGGAGATTCTAAAATCATAAATATAATAAGATATATATTTTCTTTCATCCTTTAAAACTCAAATGGTTTAACTCATTGAACCAATCAATCATCTAAATTTCAATTTTTTTTATTTGATCGACTGGTCCGTTCTGAGTTTTATAACTACGGTGAAAAGTGAATCATTCACCTTAAGATCAGATTTTGAGAAAAAAAAAATCAATTCTTAAGTAAATCTCCATTAAACCTAAACTTTGAGTTCTGTCTACATACAAAGATCAAAGATGTCTTGAAATTGCCTTACCTTAATAGCTGTAAAATATTATTAAAATATGTTGAAAATGTGGTGGTTTTATTGGTGAGCTTCATTTTGGAATTGGAGCAAGTGATGAAGACTGATTGACTAGTTTTTGTTAAGGTTTTAATGAGTTTATTTAATGCTTGTACATGAGAATATAAACATATATCGATTGTCTAGCTTTATTATGGCTTCGGTTGGGAATCTTTATATTGGTATTATGATGATTGTAATATCTACTAGGTTTGTGACAAAGACTATGTAGTTTTTTCTTTTCTTTTTTACCATTTAGCCTATCAAGTTGAACATTAATTTTGGACTCATCATGCAATTTGATGAGGCTTGATGTTATACAAGCTTTTATGACATTATCATAAATTCTATGGAAAGATAAAAATTATTGAGATCATTTCTTTTAAGCCACACAATCCTATACAACCCATGTTGAAGAGTCTATCAACGAGGCCAAGGAAGAATGATATGACGAGACCAAGTTAGTCAAGAAGGAAGTCATTTATAATAAATACAACCCACTAGTGGACTTTGATCAAGTGCTCCAACAATCTTTTCTTTCTATATTAATAATGGTCAACGTAGATGTCATTTTCATTGGTAACATTGGTCATTGTCTACATTAGCTAGGGTCATTATATATGTGATTTATAAGATCAAGTGGGTGGTACCATGCCACCTTTCACATGAAAACCATAAATCCACATGTGAAGAAAAAGATAACACTAATTATATTTTATTTGTTATTTAACGATTTATATTATTAATTAATATTATTTTATTTGATAAGTCAATATTTGATCTTTTTATTTGATCACGCCTTTTAGAGCTCACGAGCTCCTAAATGATAAAATCGTATGGGTATGTCTACTATCCAAAACGGATAATTTCTCGTTAACCTACGAGGCCAAGTAGAACAACCAAATTTAATTTATCAAATTAGCACTAAAGAAAGGGCCATGGGCCCTTGGCTCCCCTACGGGAGGGAGAACTTATAAAAATATTTAGTCTTACATTAATTGAAAGTAGAGAAACCAATGAGTCATAAGTCTATTGAGTCACCCTTAACCTCAAATGCGTCTTTTGGAGTTCACGTGTGATAAAATCGTATGGGTACACTCATCGCTTAAAGTAGATAATTCCTGGTAAACCTATAAGGTGGCACTAATGACAGACCGACCAAATATGCACTAATAAGGATATTTTGAAGCTCACTAGCTCCGATAAAATAAAACCATGGGAACACCTATTGTCCAAAACTAATGGCCCTTAGATATGTTATGAGATGGAGTACTGATAAAAATATTTAATCCCTCATGAATACTGATAAAATCATATACAATTATTTTCATCAACTTGATGCTTAGAAAAATATTATTTTTCACTATAATTATGGAAGATCGATTTTTGCTATAATAATACAGCGATGTTAGGGACAAACAACAATTCATTTTTTAAGACAACTTAGGTGCTAAGTTATCTATAATTGATAATCGTAATCTACATGATTTTCCGTCTTCAAGTAAAGAATCGATGAAGTAAACAATACAGATATAAAATATAAGGGGTGATTATGTATAGAGAAGAAAAAATTATATATAATTTATCTCTTTTATAAGATTTTTTATCTTAGGGTTTAGATTTATTATTTGAGATGGTAAAGAGTTAGTAGTCGTGATTGGACTCCGCATGGTTGAATTCATTGAGACAGGTGGCGCTCCCTGATTGGTGAACAGGCTTCCCATTTTCGCGAGAGGCGTCGGCCTTTTGCCACCGAGTTGCCAGCTATCGTCCAGCGGGGACGCCAACTACGAATCACGACCTTTGGTTTTCAAGCAAGCGCAGCGACGCATTCTTCACCGTTTGATCTGACATGAGCGCGTTCATCCTACGGTCCTGTTTTGTACAAGGACGTAGCCAAAAGGATGGACGCGTGGTGCTGTTATTCCGTAGAATAAGTATCATAATAACTCTATGCAACTGTTACATCTACCGTTCAAATCTATCTCCTGTGGAGTGGACGTTAAGAAGATGTATCGCATGTAAAATATATGCGGATAATCTCATAAAGAAAGATTCGAAGGAGAACCGCAACGGGCTCTTGCACACCACAGGCAGCGACGGAAACGTCGCCGTCGGGGGAAGTATATATAGAGGAAGAGGAGAAAAGGCATGGTATCCTTGAGCTTTTGTACCTACGGCCATGGGGGGAGGAGATGCAGGCGATGCAACCTCGAAGACCAGGGTCGTGGTGGTCGGCGGGGGAGTCGCCGGGGCGATCCTCGCCAGGTCCATGCAGTTCCTCGCCGACGTAGTCCTCATCGACCCGTATGGATCGCTCTCTCTCTCTCTCTCTATCTCTCTGTGCCGTGTTTTTTCCTGCGTTTCTTGGGAGGAATTAGCTTTGGAACGTAAAGTGGATGATGGGGGTATCATCGACCAGATCGACCCCGGTTTGATTACAGATTATTCGCCCTAATATCTTGAAAAGTTGCATTTTTGATGAATTTGTTGGGCTTCTATGTGCTATTTTATCATCTCTCGTTTCATTGTTTGTTCGTGTATTATCTGCAAAATTGAGTGGCTTTTGATGTAATTGTCATAAGAAAGTGGGTATCTGGCCGATTGGTTCCCTCTCGGTTTACAATTTCGACAAGGAAAATACATCCGAAATGTGGATTGAGATATTCGAAATTAGATTCTTTACATTAACAATTATCATGGGGGAGGCTCCCTTGTTAATCCTCACCAGTACTGAAGAAAAGTTGGCCTTTTTCCCCCTCCCTGTGCCTACCTAATATTTTCTCCTGGAAAGATGGATCTGACCACCCCAGCTGTCGGATCGTTGAAATCCGTCCATTGGCAGCTGTTGATCCATTTAGATCTAAAACCTTCCCCATCTGTATCAAGAGGCAGCAGGACACTGATTTTGCGTCCCCTGAATCATTTTTAACAGTCATAAACTATTGATAATTTCATCTTTGCAATCCAGCATAAGATTGTGGATAGGAATGAAGTCTCTAGACATCTTGGCTAGTTGTGGATGATATGTAATTTGTCGTCAATATCTCCTATAAACGTTTAAGAGGAATAATTGAAGGACAGTTCATGGATTATGACGAGTCCATGTTAATTTGCTCCCTAGCATGCAGGAAGATCATATTAAATTGATATATGCCTAGCTGCTAAAAGATGCAGTTTTGAGAGAAGAAACCAAAGTTATACAAATGAATGTACCCATCCCCCCTTCTAAAATATAAAGAATCCTTCTGTTATGAATAGCTTAAACAGAGATTTTGAGATGTAACATGGTGCACTTTAATAGGTATGACATCTGTAAGTAGATATGCGTTACTCACAGTTATATAACTGTTGTGGGATTAGTAGCATCAGAAGACGGTGAGGAAACTCAATCTGGCTGCAAAATATGTCATAGTCAATGTAGCTATTATGGAACAATAGCTCACTGATCAACCACTTTCATGTTGAGAAAGGGCATTAATATATTACTTATTTGGAGTTTGGATTTACCACCGATAGGGAATTAATACCTAATATATTTCTGCATTGGAGTAGTAGCTGTTGTAATTTCTGGCTGGATAAATAAATGTTTGAATTTTTATTATTGAACTTGAATTATTGATTATCAAAAAAATACATGCTAGTTTTCCGATGAAGTCAGGATGTCTACAATGACTTTTTTAGTTGTTTGTGTGCCTGTAATGTAAACACACTATTTACCTTACTAATGCAAGAGTTATAACATCAGATGAATGTTCCATGTCTTCACATGCTTGTGTCTAGTAGAACTGGTGTATTTTAGCTGGTATACCTTAAGGGTAAAACATTTCTTATCTGGACATGAAGCTTATTCAAATCATATAATTAATTAGTTTTAGATATTTCTGATCAGTTTAATGATATATATTTTCAAACTCTGATATTAGGAAGGAATATTTTGAGATTCCCTGGGCAGAATTGAGATCAATGGTTGAGCCTGCCTTTTCAGACAGATCACTGGTTAAACACACTGATTACCTTACTAATGCAAGAGTCATAACATCTTCGGCAGTCAATATCACTGAAAACCAGGTTTTGACAGCAGATGGCAATTCAGTTTCCTTTGATTATCTTGTCATAGCCACTGGTCATGCATACTCAACTCCTACAAGCAAACAAGAAAGGCTCGAGCAGTTTCAACAAGGTAATTTTTCAACATTCTTTTCTTCGTTAGATCTGCATGGGCATGTTTCTTATTTGTACTTTGACTCTCAGCACATCAGGAACCTTCTACAAATATTGTGCAGCTTTGTGCTAACAGTTGAATTTTCTTTTTTTTTTTAAAAAAAAATTGTATAGCTAAAAATTGGTTTACTAATATCCATTTTGGCCAATTTCAGTGGAAATAATTAGTAAATTTTTTGTGTACTCCAGAACAGTCATTTGTTTTTGCTAGTTGATTTTTCATTGGATGCTTAACTTAACAAAATTTGTTGATTATATCATCTCTACCTTTGTGCGTTCACTTTGGAAATGCATCTCAATGGATGGGTTTTATTTAGATATTCAGGGAATTACTTGTTTTGTATAGTGCACTCCATGCTTAAAGGTTTCTTGGCCTTCAAAGAAACCTATTCTGACATTAGATTGGGCTTACAAGATTCCAACTTTGGCACTTGGCACATATTTTGCAACTCCAATGTATTAACAAATCAGACTTGGACCTGCTACAACGTCACCATGGATCCTTATTTTGGTTTTTACTCATGGAAGGATATTCCTCTGACTCCCAACTGGCTTTAGAAGTGCTGGAGGGTATCATGTCATAAAATATCAAATTTGATATCTGTTTATATTTTTTTTTTTCTTGGTTTAAGGTCCAAGCAGCTACACCATAGCAAATTATTTCTTTACATGTAAAGAGGTAAAAAATTATCTATATATGCATAAGCGCTTATTGACCAAAAGTATATGATTTTCTCCCATTAATAATTAACGCTAGTAAGTGAAAAAAGTAAATTTATTTTGATCTACTGGAAACTGTGCAATATAGAATGATTTAAGCAATTTAAAAGTGAAAAGATTACAGGAGCCTGACAATCGATTGAAAAAAAATTCCGAAGTAGACTCTAGAAGTTGGCTTCCCTTACTATGAATTTGGCATTGTTAATACTAATTTTAAGTTTTTAACTAATATTATGATCATGTTTATTTTCTGAATATTAAATTAATCTGGAGTTACATACTCGTTATTTCATTGATGATATTCCTATGTTCTCACATCTTCATTGTTAAATTCTGCTTCCTATCTCAATTAATCTAGTGACTGTTCAGTTTTTTCCTCCTCCTGTCATGTGCTGCTCACTGAGTTAATATGATTTCATGATCAAGCTTTGAGGTCATGCACAAATTGTATGTCCAGAATAGATGCCTGCCCACGCACATGTTTTGAACTATATAGTGGAATGAGCAGTTTGTTTATTTTGGATAATTATTTTATTAAAGCAGGTTAGAAAGCATCACTTATTTTTATCTGTGACTTCTTTCCCCTGTTCATATAGGACTAGACACAAATAATCCGTGAAATATCATGCAGCTTCTGTAAAGATAAATCTCATTTACTGCATATATTGACAGCTGGTATTCCTTCCATGTTTAGATAATCAGAAGATTAAATCTTCCCAGTCTGTTTTAATCGTTGGAGGTGGTCCATCTGGTGTTGAACTTGCTGGAGAGATTGCAGTTGACTATCCAGATAAGAAGGTGACTATTGTTCACAAAGGGTCAAGGGTACTGGAATTCATAGGGCACAAAGCATCTAAAAAGACATTAGATTGGTTGATATCAAAGAAAGTAGAAGTGCTTTTAGAGCAGTCAGTTGATCTGGACTCCATTTCAGAGGGAGATGGAGTATATACCACATCAACTGGACAAAAGATTTCAGCTGATTGCCATTTTGTTTGTGTGGGTAAGCCACTGGGATCATCATGGCTCCAGGATTCTGCTCTCAGGGATTGTTTAAACGAGAACAGAAGGCTGATGGTCGATGAATACTTAAGGGTCAAAGGTCGAAGTAATATCTTTGCCATTGGAGACATTACCGACATTCCTGTAAGTCTGCATCTGGACTTTCACTTGAAACAAACCTTTTATGAATAACTAGTAAATGACTGTTTTGCACTCTAGGAGTTGCTAGAAATATATATTACTATAAAGATGATTAGGAGAAGGTATAGTGTCTGTCTACCTAACTTCACCTATTTTAGTTCTTGAAGAGAGGTGTATATTTTCAATCAGATTAAATAATATGTTGATAGTACATAGTAGGGTTCCAGAATAATTTTTTGAAAATACTTTCTTATTTCTTGGAGAAAGAGCATGAGTAGCGCCTTCTTAACCTGATTTACTTCATCACAAGTACTGCCCCAAGTATTTTTGGGATTCGCACCTTGGGTCTCCTAAAAAATAGAAGAAAGAGAAAAAAGGCTGCTCTTTAGTTGTTTATTCTAAAATTTCCTTTGAGAACAAAAATCCAAGGTGCAGAGTCTCGAAATGCTACTTAAAATTGAAGTCCAATTTGTTCTAACATTGAAACTTCATAAGATTACTCGACCAGATGCATGTTCTTCCAACTACTACTTATTCCATTGTTTACAATGTTAAAAGGCCTTGTCATTCCATCATAGTTAAGTTGAAATCAAATTGAACTCACTGATAATATTATGCATTGCTCTCATCTTCAGGAAATTAAACAAGGATTCCTTGCGGAGAGACATGCCACAGTGGTCATCAAAAACCTGAAGCTGTTAATGAAGGGAACCAAGGAGAATAAGCTGGCAAAATACAAAGCTGCATCTCCTATGGCAATTGTTTCTTTGGGTAGAAAAGAAGGAGTGGCACAGCTCCCATTCGCAACAATTATTGGATGCCTGCCTGGTCTGATCAAGTCCAAGGATTTGTTTGTGGGAAAGACCAGGAAAACTCTGGGGCTGGTTTCTAGCACTTGAAAGCAAAGTTAAGAGATTGTGTGTGCATTGACTGCTAAGAGGAATGTTTGGTGGTTGTATATCACTTTTGTTCATGTATTGTTTTCTGTAATTGTGCCAATCTGAAGATATTACATAGACCTGATTTGAATATTATCATTTTATTTCACATGAAAATGTCAATGGCTACCTGAGATGAAATTTCTGTGCTTTTGACAGTTTTAAGTTATTGGATTTTAATATATTATTGCAATACCCAAGTAGTCTCATATGGATGTAAATCCAAACTATGGAAACATTTATCATAATTTATTGATGTGCTTGGATCAATACAATGAACTCAGATCAGAGTAAGGTTATGATTTTGGCAGAGCTCAAATCATCTTAAACTTTAGAACTGTGAATGTGCTTCAAGCAGTGGGTCATCTAAAGTGGAGAAAGGTTAATCTTGAAGAGGTAAATGCAGTAAGCTCTTCTATAGACACATCTAGGCAAGTATCTGATAGAAATCAGAAAAAAAGGGTTTGAATTTGAGTTTATAAGCAATCTCTTTTGACTTAGCTCTTGCTTAATTATTTTCATATGGATAAATGAAAATTTCAACCAAATTGTTGTACGGATAATTACATAAAATTTTAAAGTTTAAATAATCCTAACACCTTTGATAAAAATAATGATCAGATCTCCTCAAATCTACAGACTCCTATAAGGAACAGAGTTGTTGATGCCATATTTTTTTTAATGCCGAACCATGAACAGTTATATGTTATATCATAGTTAAAAAAATGCATTTGATTGAAGTTTTGTACAACCAAATTCTAACAATTCGAATATGTTTTGTAGACAATAACTCTTTAAAACTAAAATATAAGGGGAATTCAGTGGACATTTCTAAAAGAACACCTTTGAGTTCTTTTCCTGAAAACTTACCATCTGTTTCGCTTGTGTTTATCTACTTTTCTGTTCTTATTTGTGGCAGATCATTCACATGTTAAAGGTGCAGACCAACCAAACATTCATGAATCATCACACATCAATACATCATCAAGCAGCAACTTATCACAGTGCAAAAAATAGAATTGCTCATTCATGTGACAGGTGAGGTCTTGGCATGAGTCTACTTGTGAGGATGACCAACTGTGCTGAAACATCCAATTCGTAACTTTTGTTGATTCATCGGGCACTATCTTATAACTGGTAAGCTTGATGATATGATGCGTAAGAAGCTGTGCAAAATATGCTGAAGAAGGCTTTGCTCGATACAGAATTGATCAGAGCAGGTTTTGATCAAATCTCAAAGACTATATGATGAGGAAGAAAATACATGGATGATTTAGAAATCAGAGTTGCTTTAGTTTCCTTTTTTATCTTAGTTTTCGAGATGAGCTTATTCAAAGTTTTAAATCCTATGAGATTCAAATATAGTCAGTCCTTTCTTGGAAAATTTACTGCATTTTGGTTGTGAAGTTGAGAAAATTATTACTCTGCACAATTTATTGAAGCCCCGTGATGGAAGTGCATTTAGAACATCCATTTTTAGGTGGAGGACCAATAGGCTGGATGGTGGAAATTTATGGATATGTGTCAGAGATCTGAACCATTTTGCAGAAGTTTTGGATGTCTGAACCTTTACTAAATTTATGGGTTGATGTCCTCTTGTAATCTTTTTGTGTGTGTATCCCAGTATGATCAAGCTTTTCAATGTAGTGTCTGTTTGGATCACTTCAATCTCTTCTTACAATGATGACCTCATGTTTCCTGTACCACTCGATTCGGATCATATGGTCTGATTAAGAATGAAACTACTTGCTTTTTGTTCACCATGATACAAGTGTTTGATTTCAGTGACAGCTGATGGCAGCTTTTACTTGCAACCTTAAGATTTCTAGTCGAGTATGAACCTTTGAGTTGTGTGTGGTGATCGCTTGATGCAACCATAACTACTTGCTTGATGTAGTAATTGGGAATGAACCTTGATGCAACCATATGATCTCAAACAACAACTGCATGACCATATGATGATGCTATATATCACACTTTATTGCTAATCCGGTAGACGCAGAACAGAAGTCTGTACATGGAGTTTGCTGGTATTGACAAGAAGGAAACCCTGCAACATGAGGAAGAAAGATGATGGTGCCAAGAACAGAGCTCATTCTCCCTTACGTCATGGAGCACTCTGGGGGAAACCCCTGCGGGAAACGCTTCAGGTCAGTGCAGTAGTGGTAGATCATGTAGTTCTTCTGCACCCACCTCATCCTGTCCTGGCTGGGGGTGTCCAACTCTTGGCTCCACCAGCCTCTGGCGGCGGCGGGGACGGCCGAGCTGGAGTTCCTCGGAGCACAGCTTGAGATACCGGAAGACCAGACGCAGGCGTCGGCGTTGAAGTTCCTGTAGGAAGCGGTGAAGGGGGCGTTGTTCCAGTTGGTCTTGACCAGCCCGCCCCTGGTGGCCCAGTCGTCGGCGTTCCACAGGCTCGAGTAGATTCTCATCGGCTGGTTCTTGGGGAAAGGGATGCCTCTCGATTCCAGGTTCTTGAAGTCCCTGATCGGTGTGCCGTCGACCATGAAGCTGCAACGATGGCGGACGGATGGTGAGCATCTTCGACACCGTTGATGGGGATTCGAGAGGAACACTTACATGACATGTCTGGGGTTCCAGAGAACAGAGTAGGCGTGGAAGTCCTTGGTGGGATCGAACCAGAGCTTGAACTGCATTTCCCTGTTCCCCTTCCCCTGCGTGTACACGTTGGTGTGGAGGGTGTAGGGATCTCCGGTGAGGTTGCCGAGGAACTCGAAGTCGATCTCGTCGTGCGTCGGCCCCTGAGAGGACAACTGCAGAAGCAGATCAAGAACGCCATCAGTGACTGGAATTACGACGAACAGTTCGCATAAAAACCGGTGGGGAGCAGAAGGATCCGTACGTAGTAGGCAGTGACGGTGCCAGCGGAGTTCCCCGGCACGAGCTTGAGCTGCATGTCGATCTTGCCGAAGAGGAACTCCTTCTTGGACTGGAAGCCGGAGCCGGACGTGCGATCGAGGGAGAGAGTAAGCAGCTGGCCATTGTTCAGGATCTTGGCGCGCCCGTCTCCCCAGGTGAGGTCGAAGTCCTGGTAGAAGGTGGCAGCTACGGCCATGGTCATGGCCAAGGAGGAGCAGAGCAAGAGGTGGATCAGCGACGCCATCGTTGCAGCAGAGGAGGAAGATGAAGCGAGTGAGTGTTGTGGGAGTGAGGTGGGTGAGTGGGATTTATAGAGCAGGAGGTGGGGAAGGGTGGGGTTGAGGCGGCGTTTGGAAGGATCTGCCATGAGTTGGCTACAGACTGGAGTTGGATACGTGTGTTCGTGTGGAAGGAGGGCATGTCAGCCAGCTAAAGAAGGCCCGAGTGAGGAAGGTGATGAGGGCACCGACAATGAGACTCGACTGTTGATTTGGCTCCTCAGGTTGTTTTCGTGTTGGATTTGCTCGTTTGACTATCGATAGGTAGTGATGTGGAAAGTTTAGTCTCCTATTTGATCCAAAATAGTAGATCTAACTTTATAGTTATATACTCATTAGATCTTTGCCCAATATAACCCCCTATACTTCTTACCCATTATAACCTCTATACTCAAGATCTTATGTATCCTCTTCAAGAATCAAAGCAAATCGTTGTATAGTGGGCATGAGATATAATTTAATGGTGACTTCATATTGTAATCTGCTCTCCGATCAAATTCATAGTTACTCTTTCATACTTGAGGATAATTAATTAGCTTATTAAAAACATATTTGAGCCTTAGTCATTGACCTAAAATACATATTAATAATTTTATATTTATCACGTCCTTAAAGATTCTAACGTAAGACTAAATCAGAATATTATACTCATTAGACTAAATTAGAATATTACACTTACCCAATCAAAGAAAAATAAATATTATACTCATCAATACTAACTTCATTGGATGGTATAGTCGAAAGGAGTCGATGAGGTTTACAGGAAAGATTTACTAGACAAAAATAATTGCTATGTGAGATGATCTGGCACAATTATTGGTGCAAGGAATTGGGCACTTGAAGTAATATCGATGCCAAGGACAATGTTGCAGAGCTGTGAGTTGGGATGTTCCAGCTTCGATCAGTCCTACTCAGACAGACAGAAAAGAAAAAGGTAAAGCTCTTGCACTGATTTAATATGTATCAGAAATTTCAATCGATATTCTCTAAAAGTGAGTGAGTTCCTTTAAATATTTTTACAATAAAAATTGTATTTCGAATGGAGAATATTGATCATATCGATTCCCAAGTCTTATGTGCCATGCAATCCGAGTTTACCATCAATTAATTACTTATTAACTGGAAGTATTGATAATATCATATCCTAGCTTTTCATATTATGTGCTAAGCAATCCAAGTTTATCATCATCATCATCATCAAGTACTTACTTGTCCAGTAAATTCCAGCGTCGGAGAAACCGAGTTTGTCTTCCACTATTCATTCACATTTATGGATGTGAAATCAGGACAGCATGAAACCATCATTGATGGAAATTACTGACAAACAAAGTTGGATGGGGGCAACCCTTCTTTTATCTCTCCGCGAGAAGAGAAAACCAAATGGAATCTTTATGGATTATAAAAGGACTTACTCTAAAGAACCGTAAGCAGTTCATTCCATGGCTTTTAATTGAAAGTGCTGTGGCAGTAAGTTTATGGGAGGTATGAATAAAATGAGGCTTCGAGTGAAATTAAATTTCCCATGTCAAGATCATGATAAAAATATTGAGTGAAGAGTAAGTCTAAGTCGATATCTTACAAAACTATATCGAGACATATTCGATAAGATTTTTTAAATATTTAAATTGGTTTAAATTTGAAGGATTCAATTATATGTCAAATATATAAGATGTGACTTGTATTATGCTACATGATCATTAAGTTTGAGATCATCGATCTTATGATTGCTATCCCATCATAAGTGGAATCATGTTAAATTAAATTCATTAAATTAACTTTTCATTGATATCATTATGTTTGTATTAAACAAATATTTATTTTAAAAAAACAACATAAAAAAAGAAGAAAAATAATATTACTTACTTATTAATCTATTTTTCCTCTATAGCATAAGAAGTTGGGACTGTCATCAACCGTAAGATCTAAGCTGAAAACACCCATACAAACTTGTAGTAAGATTCTTATGACTCGTATTAACTTCATTTTTATATTCTTAATGA